ATCACCCCCAACTTCAGCATCTGTTGTATTTCCTCCTCAATAGCTCGCCGACGAGCCTCAGGGACGCGGTAGGGCCGTTGCCTGACGACGACCCCTGGCGGCGTCCGGATGTTGTGCTGCAGGACGCTGGTCTGCCCGGGAAGAGAGGAGAACACATCAGAGAACTGACCGACCAGGTGCTGCAGCTCCCTCTTCTGGGCAGCCGAGAGGTGGGGGTTGACGTCAACAACCACGGGATCAGAGATGGCGAAGGCTGCGAGCTGGTCTCTAGTCCCAACCCACTTCTTCAGAAGGTTGATGTGGTAGAGCTGCTCGGCTCTCCTCCTTCCTGGCTGACGCACACGGTAAGTCACCGGCCCAATCTTTTCCAGCACCGTCTAAGGACCCTGCCAGGTGGCCAGGAACTTGCACGCAGCGTTGGGGACTAGGACCATGACTCGGTCTCCGGGCTGGAACTCCCGTGGTTGGGCTGCCCGGTTATAGTGGCGCTGTTGGGCCTGCTGCGCCTTTGGGGACTAGGACCATGACTCGGTCTCCGGGCTGGAACTCCCGTGGTTGGGCTGCCCGGTTGTAGTGGCGCTGTTGAGCCTGCTGCGCTTTACTTAAGTGTTCCCGGACTAATGACATGACCCGGTCGATCCTTTTCCTCATCTGCTTCACGTGCTCGATCACCGAGCGATGGGCTGCCGGCTGTTGTTCCCAGGCCTCCTTCACCACATCCAGGAGGCCGCGGGGTTGCCGGCCAAAGAGGAGCTCGAAGGGGGTGAAGCCAGTTGAGGAACTTCGTGGATCCCGAAGAGGACATAGGGGATCATAAGGTTCCAGTCGCGTTTGTCCTCCGCGACCACTCGTCTCAACATCTGCTTCGCTCGAAAGGCACCTCGATGATGGGCAGCGGTATCAGCGGACTGGGGGGAGGCGTCCTGGGTGACATCACTTGGCAGGTCGGGCAGACTTGGCAGAACTGCTGTACTTCGGCCTCCAAGCCCGGCCAGTGGAAGCGGTCGCGTATCGCTGGATGCTGTTCGCGGCCCCGAGATGCCCTGCCAAGGGATGTGAGTGGGCCAGCTCCAATACGGGCTCCGTCTTCGTGCGTGGCACCACCAACAATAATTTTTCCTTCGCTGAGCGACACAATAGAGCAGGCCGTTTTGGACGATGAAACGCGGGAGAGGATGGGGGCCAGGCTGAACTTCCTTGCCTTCGATGACCCGGACCTGGGTCCAGCAATGCTTCAGCCTGTCGTCCTCGCGTTGTTCCTTTCCAAATGAGCACCCTCCCGTCACCTGTTGGAACACATCATAGAAGAGGTTAGGATTTTGGGAGGGGGACTCACCTTCTCTCCCGCTGTCCGAGGCCAGAAGAACGGGGTGCTGACAAGGTCCTTTCGTGGGCCTCCATCTTCGGCGGCCTCCTCTTGGGCTGGCAGGCTGCGTAGCCGTGGCCAGCAGGCGGTCAAACCCGGGCCAGTCTCTCCCGATCAGCACGGGGACTGCTCTGACCACAGTCCATCCATCCATCCATCCTGCTGATCCCCTGTGTACCTGTAAGAAAGACACTCTACAGTTCCAATCACTATTTATATTATCATTTGCTTAAAGGCAGAGTAAGTGATTTCTGGTAGCCAATGTTGATATTTGAAATCACCAAAACAAACACGCCCCTAAATTTCAAATGGTTTTCAACGGTCGTTTGACCTCTTTCTCGCGTCCAGTGTAGGCAGACTTTAGTTGTTGTAGACACGGTGTTACTCACCTATTGAGAAGAAACAAAGCAACCTCGGCGTCCGATCGCAGGCCTCCGCTCCTTGAGTTCTCTCCAGCGCTGGAAAGCTGATCCGATATTTACACGGGTCCTACTTCTTGCCTTATCGTTCCGCAGACGTTTTCCTCTTTTGTTTTTTATCCGCCATCTCTATCTTTCTGTCACTCGGCTCGGCTAATGTCCGTCCCATGCACTGAACGCGCTCTCCTCCACATCACGAGTAGACACGCCCCTTATTGCTGATTGGCTACAAGTTTGTTTTGCGATTCGGCCCGAATCAGTTTTCTAAAGTGTTTTTGAAAAATCACTTACTCTGCCTTTAAGACTGGTTTTGTGGTCCAGGGTCACATATAATTAGTCATGCTAACAAAAACGAAAATTTGCTGATAATGTACTCATCCCGAAGCCATTCAAGAAATGACTTCATCAGAGCAAAGTACTGTAAGTCATATACATCTTGGATGGCCTGAAGGTGACTACAGTAGCAGCAAATTTTCATTTTGAATGGACTATTCCTTTAATACTGACATTTGTTCTTTTCAGATGATACTTTTTTAAAGACAATTTCTTAACTTCTGAAATTGCTACTTGATGCCCTGGTTGAACCGAAACCTGGACAAATCGTAAAGTTGCTGATTCTAAGTTTGCCCACATCTGAAAAATGTTCTAAAAATATTGAACTGAGTTCAGATAAACAACAATTTTATTAGCTGTTTCAGTAGTATCGTCATAACGCTGATCGTCACAGAGGAGAGCGGGAATAAAGAACGTTAACTCAGAGTTGGATTTTTAATTTTAATTTTTTGCTTAATAGCAAAAATACATTAGTAAGTCACACATAGGCGTAACATACGTGGACCCTTTTAATAAAACATAAATTCGTCCACAGCACTTTTCATTGGGCAAGTGTGTTTAAGAAAAGGTTTTCAAGGGACGCAATGTAACGTTACTGGTGTTTAGATGCGATTTGCAGAATCGACTTTAGCTTCCCATAATAACGTCACCGTTAAATGCGTTTTGTCCTTTACTGGCACCCGTAGAAATGACGAGGAATGTGATGATGATGTAATATGTGTGTGACTGGTGAAGTCAGCCTGTAGTCCAATCTCGTGCTTCTCCGTCAGGATGGTAATGTAAAACAAACTACTTTGCTTTTATAGTTATTTAATTGTGATTCGTGTATGATATCGTGTTTTCCTCATAAAGAAAGAGCATGCGGTTTACTGCGATTGTGAAGAAAATAACAGCGCACACTAGAAGATGAGAACGAGAGCAGCAAAAACATGTCATGTCATCCGCCCAGTCAGTTCAGCACAGTTTATAGTCTGGGTTAAAATTAATCTGTCAGACTGCAGTTTTTGAATTTATTGGCAGAAAGTGATGACGACAACTTTATTTTGCAGGGGACCCAGGTTAAAGACGTGATCATTAAACCTGATGCTCCAAACACGCTCCTCCTAGACAAGCATGCCGACTATATTGCAGCCTATGGCTCCAAGAAGGATGACTATGTAAGTTGATGGCTTACAAAAATGCAAAAAATGGTTTTCCTTCAAAAAGCAATAAAATCAGAGGTTAATCCCCATGTATTCTGCACCATCTCCTGCAGGAGTACACGCTGTCAGAGTACTTGAGAATGAGTGGCATCTACTGGGGTCTGACAGTGATGAGAGCCGCAGTCCTGCAGAGTTCAGCTCCAACCCTGAAAAAAAAACTAAAATCGCATTAAATCCTGTGTTGGTCTAACCAGACTTCATCACGTCGCGTATGCACGCCTCTGTAGGTGTGTTTTGTTTAGCTTTTGCAATATACTCGATAATGTCATGATGTCTCACGAGTTCAGTATTTTAGCTAAACCTGCGCAGATTTGGCCTGCATGAACTTCCCCAAGAAATTAATGAGTGAACATAATTTACGAAAAGTAACCCGCCAAATTGGCTAGTGATTTGACAGTGTTACCCGCCACAGCTGATTTTTACCCGCATTTGGCGGGTTGGCGGGTGTTAATTTCAAACCCTGATTGTAATCATATGTTTTTCTCATCCTGTCTCTAGATTTACTGCTGCACAGGTTTCTTGTCGATCACTGGGCAGCTTCATCAAGTAAATGCGGATCTGTTGGGTTGGTGGCTCTGTGAAAGACAGTTACCATCAGGAGGCTTGAATGGGAGACCAGAGAAAGTAAGATGTCCTTTAGATCAAAGATATTAAAGGGTTAGTTCACCCAAAAATGAAAATTATCCCATGAATTACTCACCCTCAAGGCATCCCAGGTGTATGACTTTCTTCTTTATATTATATTATAAAGTTATATTAAAATTTGTCTTTGATCTTCCAAGCTGTTTAGTGGCAGTCAGCAGGTGTTGCAGTTCATCAGTCCAAAAGAAGTTAAATAAAGTTCATCCATCCATAATAAAAAGTGCCTCACACGGCTCCGGGGGGGTGAACAAAGACCTCCTGTAGTGAATCAATGTGTTGTTGTAAGAAAAACAACCATATTTAAAACATAATAATCAATTTAATCTAGCCTGCGCTCACTGTTGTAAAGGGAAGCAGTTCCGGGCGGATGACGTATGGAGGTCGGCGTTGCACATGCGCCGCTCAGAAGTGACGAACGCGGAAGCGCAGGGGAGAGATCAAAACAAAACAACGGTCACGAATTAGAAGTACAAAACGAGGATTTGTAAAGAAGAATGTCGGCATGCGCAACGCTGACCTCATACGTCATCCTCCTGGAGCTGCTTCCAGTGTACAACAGTGAGCGCAGGCTAGATTAAAGTTATTATTACGTTTTGAATATGGATATTTTTCTTACAAAAATGCATCGATTCGCTACAGAAGGCCTTTGTTCAGCCCCCGGGGCCGTGTGAGGCACTTTTTATTATGGATGGATGAGCTTTATTTCACTCCTTTTGGACTGATTAACTGCAACACCCGCTGAGTGGCATTAAACAGCTTGAAAGATCAAAGACAATTTTTAATATAACACCGATTGGATTCATCTGAAAAAAGGAAGTCATATATGCCTAGGATGCCTTGAGGGTGAGTAAATAATGGACTAATTTAAATTTTTGGGTGAACTATCCCTTTAACATATGCTAACTAATTAAAAAAACGTGACTTAAAGGGATAGTTCACACAAAAATGAAAATTCTGTCATTAATTACTCACTCTCATGTCATTCCAAACCCATAAGTCTTTCGTTCATATTTGGAACACAAATTAAGATATTTTTGATGAAATCCGAGAGCTTTCTGAACCTCCATAGACAGCAAAACAATTGAAACGTTCAAGGGCCAGAAAGGTAGTAAGGATTTGTGACGTCAGTTGTTCAGCCATGTTATGAAGAATACTTTTTTGTGCAAAGAAAACAAAAATAATGACTTTATTCAACAATTTCTTCTCTTCCTCGTCAGTCTGTTCACAAAAGTACTATGATGCATAACTCTTTAGAACTAGTTATATTTTCAGTCATAGCTGGATATTTAATTGTATCCTAAGTCTGACTTTTGACTATCAGTGTATTCTGCTCATGAAGTGACCATCTGATCCAGTTAGTGTAGGTACAGTTTATGTTGTAAAAGATTAAAACTAAAATGATTACCATAATAAAAAAAATTTGAAAATAGTAATTATATATATATATATATATATATATAGATGAGGTCTTGCCATTCTTTAAACCGAGCTCATCAGTCTCTGCAGTACATTCTTACCAGTGTTCTATATTTCCATCCAGGTGGATCCTTTCCACACTTTGTTTGGTGTGGCTGGTCTGTCTTTGCTGGGAGATGAGCAGATCAAACCAGTGAACCCTGTGTTTTGCATGCCTGAGGATGTGCTTCAGAGGATTGGCCTCCAACCAGACTTGCTGAGCTGAGTTGAAATTCAGCATGGCCATTTTCCTCTTCTCCTACCCCTGCACAGCCAGCCGTTTTGAAACGGGCAAACCGTGGAAAGCTGTCATCTTCAACTAACAATCAGTGCACTGTTTAGAGGGACCAAGAACTTTAGAAAGCCCCTTAACATTGTGTGCTTTTTACAGAAAATTGTTCTCATCATTGTGTAGGCACAGTATTACCATGCTTACTTTTGTTAGTGGGCTTTCTCTATTTAAAGATGCGGTTCAAAGAGGGACATCTGCTATTTACAGCTTTCACTGTGTATTAAAACGTAACTTTATTTATATGAGTAATTCAGCAGGTCACTTTTTGGTGTCAACCAAAAGTGTTTATTCAATGAGGGGAGAGGTCGCTCACTCATCTCTGATGGCTTTTCCAAAGCGAGTATGCGAGACTAATAAATTTACATGTTACATCAGACGTTAAGCACCATAAACATGGATTTCATGCATGAGATTAATTTTTATGTCCTCTTACTGTCATTTGTTCACATCAATTGTCAAGGTTTTGTAGGTCCTCACATCTCTCAAGCATTTATTGTGCAACCATTTTAAAAGTCATGTTTGCTTTGCAACTGCTGTTATTTCTAAGGTTTGGGAGAGTTTTGCTTTTGTGGTATGAATGAATTCTCTCACTCTGGCATTGATGCCAGTGTGTGAAGATACCTGTTGTTTGGGATCGAATAAATGTGACTTTAATATAAAAAAAAACTGTTGGATTATTCATTGTCAGGTGGGAAACTGTTGGTGTTCTCCACAAGGAATCAAGTGTTCATCACCCCTAGAGCATCTGACACTGATTATGATTAATCTTTGTTGGCCTGCTGTTATGTGATGTTCCTCAGTAGTGCTTGTACATTTCTTTGCTCGGTGTAGGTTAGAAATGTTTGTATCAAATAGAAAACCATTAAATTGAATTGATTACCAGTTTTAGTCAATCAAACTTTGAATGTCACAAATTATCTTATGAGGTTGTGTTTACTAAAATTCACTTCAAAATAGGCTTTTCACACTGCTTTTAAATTTATATTCATATTTGCTAGTTAAAAACAAAGCTGCAAAACTTTCAAGTATATGAGCACGGAGTTGGAAAAGTGAAGAGGCAATCAACTCGGGAGTGTGTGAATTCATCAAGAGAGCAGCAATCTACAGACCACTGACAGATTTGCAGAAACAAACACAAGGGTTGTTAGGCTACGATGAAACCCCACTGGCTCTCATTACAACCTGTTCAGAGTGTGGGAGATGTGCCACATGTCACCACAGTCTCCTGGCACTTATGTTTTTGTTAGATCACCTCACATGTGCAGAGACACGCACAACCTCTGCCTCTGTTAGTTTAATTAAGACATGGGTTTTACGACTAAATATGCTGTCGCATTTATTTTGAGTTATATGAACTGTTAACTGAAAAGTTCTTTGGGAAATCTAAAATGGTTCTTCTACAACAACATTGCAACCCCCCTCTTTTGGAAGCTTTATTTTTAAGAGTGTATAGTGGAAAAGGGTTCTTGAGATTATTAAATGGTTTTTCACACTAAGAAAATTGGTTCTTTTAAGAACTGTTTACTGAAAAGTTCTTTAGGGAACCAAAATGGTTCTTCTATGCCTATGGCATCACTAAAAATCCCTTATTTTTTGGAACCACTGTTTTTAAAATGTAGGTAGGAAGGCGTTTGAATATTGTCTTGGACAGAGTCAAAAAGGTTGAGAATCACTGGTATGTGACAGGGATACAAAGATGTGTTTAAAATGCATTAGCCAAGATTTCATCTGTTTGGTTTCTCTATTGAAGAAAGTTTGCACTGTACGTAATTCACAGCTAATGTTTACTCACCTGTAAAATGTTTAGCTTGCTTTATATCTATGTGAGATTTACTTGATTATGATAACAAATTAATACGATGTGAAATCAGTACATTAGCTTTGTTTAATACTAGATTATTCAATTTTTTTTACATTTATTTATTTATTAGAAGTTATTATTTATGAGTGACCAAACACAACCGTGGGTGATGTTTTTTCCTCTGATTTCAGCTGCCTGATGTCTGCTATTCCTGGTGGGTTCTTGCCTCTTTGAAGATCATTGGCAGAATTCACTGGATTGACAAAGCAAAACTGCGCAGTTTTATTCTTGCTTGCCAGGATGAAGAGACTGGAGGCTTCGCTGACAGGCCTGGAGATATGGTAACAGAAAATTTTGCATATGCATAAATATTTTGCATGTTGTTTCTCTAGGTCTTGCCATTCTTTAAACGGTTTTTCACACTAAGAAAATTGGTTCTTTTAAGAACTGTTTACTGAAAAGTTCTTTAGGGAACCAAAATGGTTCTTCTATGCCTATGGCATCACTAAAAATCCCTTTTTTTTGGAACCACTGTTTTTAAACGTGTAGGTAGGAAGGCCTTTGAATATTGTCTTGGACAGAGTCAAAAAGGTTGAGAATCACTGGTATGTGACAGGGATACAAAGATGTGTTTAAAATGCATTAGCCAAGATTTCATCTGTTTGGTTTCTCTATTGAAGAAAGTTTGCACTGTACGTAATTCACAGCTAATGTTTACTCACCTGTAAAATGTTTAGCTTGCTTTATATCTATATGAGATTTACTTGATTATGATAACAAATTAATACGATGTGAAATCAGTACATTAGCTTTGTCTACACTGGATTTATTCTTATCTTCAAACATGCTTTTTAAAGCCGTTTTGTTAATCTGCTGTAGAAGCCATTACAAAAATCCAATGTCCACACATTCGGAAAGACATCCCATGCGGAAAGACATCCCATTAGCAACAGCCTCTCTCTGACTGACACCTTGTTCAAGTTGGTAAAACAAGTACATCTTTTCCATAAAGAGTGTCTGTACGTCTTTTACAAGCCTGGAAACATTGCAGAATGGTATTGATGCCTCTATTGATGAACTGAATGTAGGACATTATGTCTAGCCGTGCATGAACTGTGAATCGGACAGAAAGGAATCGAATCCCTCACTTACCCTTAGGGCAAGTTATTTATTTTTCATTAGCTCAAGTTAAAAAATATAGATGTGAATCATTACCCTAAATTTTTTTTAATTGGATGAATGAAACATTTTTTTCAGTGCTCGGAGGACGATGGGTTTCATATAATAGTATATAGAAAGCTTTACAAATCAATTGCTTATAAAATTCAAGACCCCATAGCCCATGAAACAAGGGATGGATTACTCTAATTTACTTTAGGATGGTGGTTATCATTGTTATCTGACATGTTCTGAGGATCCTCTGTAAAATATTACGTCAAATGTGTGTTTATTTAAAGTCCAAACAGAGAACCCAACTACTAAACATCACACGTCACATCTGAACTCTGAAAGCTCTGATACAAAGTTAGACACCTTTTCATTCAAATCCCTCTGCTTGTTGTTTAAAATTTCAGCATGTTGAGAATAATTGTATTCTTTGAAGAGCAGCTCAAGGCCGTGTTTAATGGCTGCCTTCGATATGTGACTTCTGCCATTGTTCATGCTGTCTTGATTTTGTAAGTATCTTGACAACATCTTGCCATCTTGGTTTCGCTGCTGTGTACCCATATTATAAGAACCACCTTGCTCACATAAGGGGTTCCTCAGTACAGGAGGCATATGAAGAGCAACTTTTTGTTGTCTTTGATGCGCTTGTTTTGCTCTTCTGTGAAGGGTGAAATGTGTAGGAGGCGAGGAACTGTTCTTTAGATCTGTCTTTGCAATATGTGAAGGGCTCTTGGTTGAAGTCTTCTGAGGACATCCATCACTTTTATCCTCATCTTTTTCATTGCATTCACTTGAGGATAACTCAAAATGAGACAATGAGGCTTTGAAATAATCATCCTGGCGGTTTTTTAAATCCTTATGTGGCGAAACGTAGGTATTAGTGCTGCATGTTTTATAGGTTTCTGAAGTCAGTGTGTGCTGTTTGAGTTCTGACAGATCCCTCTCACAATCACCAGAGGTTTCATCACCCAAACCGTCATGCTTCTGGCCAAACATGTGGTTAGACTTCATTGAGTTACCACTTTCAACACTCAAATCAATATTACCGCATTTCTTTGCTTTCTTGGATTCTTTACAAGTTGAAAAGGCAGTACTCACTGATCTCAGATGAGCAGCGTAGGCTTCATGACAATATCCGCTTATCAGGTTTATGTCTATCAAGGTCTTTTGAAGCTCTTGTATTTCTTTGTTGATCAAAAACATTGATCTCCTGTGATCTCTCCGCAGAAGTTCCCGCTCTTCCACATACCAATGTTAAAAACAGTTGTGCTGCTTAATCTTTTTGTGGGAACTATGCCACATTTTCAAGATTCTTTGATGAAGAGAAAGCTCAAAAATACAGCATTTATTTGAAAGAGAAATCTTTTGTAACATAAATGTCTTTACTGTAATTTCTGATTCATTTCATTCATCCCTGCTGAATAAAAGCATTAGTTTCTTACCAGAGGGTAATAAATTATCATGAGTGCATACTTTTCTAAAATGTTGCAGAATTAAATTAAATAAAATGACCCAAGTAAAAATCAACTTTTAGACATTGCACACAATGAACTTTACAGATCAGGAAAATGTAGCATTTTGTGCACAGCAAAAAGAAGTGTTTAGAAAAGTGCTGTTTAGTGTTTCGGGAAGGGCAAAAAATCAGAAGGCCCTTTAGCACTGATGTCTGCATCCCGTTCTAAATATTTAATTATAATGGGTTTACATCTATGCTATACAAATCTGAGCCAAAATGTCAGTTGTCAGCTTCAGACAATGCATCTTTTCTCACATCAGTGCATCTCGTAGACAAAAACGCTTTATTTTTCCATTTCAGCATGTTTCTTCAGTTCGACAGAACATGTTGGCTATACAAAACATCACATGAAAAAGAGGACACAATCAAATCAGATGGAAAGAAATGCTTTCTGTCTCTTTAAATACTGAATACAGTTTGACAAGACCACAATAACAACAGTAAGAGTGAGAGAGTGGGCCCTTCTGAATACGTACAACTGCTGACTCACACACTGTATCGCCACTCAAGACGCTAAAACCGTTCCTCATATCACATGAATAATTGATGTTGCTTTTAAATGCTACAAAAATAACATGAAACAGAATACAAAAAATCCATTTCCTTTTCGGCCATGCCCGCAGTGTGTGCGTCAGTGAATTAAAAGTGGCTAGATCCTCACAGATCATCCCTGCGTTCCATTGCTTGTTTGTCCCACAGAGCTGGAAAGAAAAACCAATGCAGAGTTTTATTAAGCGGCATTTGGGTTTGCACCAAAGCGATCTCAGAGATTCGGAGTCCTTGTCCCACCAGCAGACACACAGTTTGGAGGCGAGCGCCAGCAGTGAGCACTGACATTTGGCTGCGTCTGATCCAAACTCCACCAGCTGAGCCTTACACCAGAAGAGTGGCTAGAAGGTCTACGTTTGTTTTGTTTTGGCTAATAAAAATATATCGTTACTATTGTAAGAAGATCAGTTGTTCTCTGTTTCACAGTGTTTCACATGCATGTGAACGTCTAACACTAAGTCCCTAGCTGCTGGCTACCACAAAACACATTTCTTCTCTCCCTTCAAACGGAAAATAAAACTAAACCTCTGAAGAGAGTCCTTTGGTGTCATTTGTTATTATTAGGAGGAGAAAATCCTCTTTATTTCTGGGCTGAGTATGGTGTAAAGACGATGTGTGTGTGTGTTCCAGGTGTTCAGCTTTACATCAGCCGCTAAAGCAGGGCGAACGTCTCTTGTCCTCGGATCAGCGGCGAGGAGCTCGTTCGGTAAAAAAGAAGACACGTGAATCCGACTGCAGCCGGAGGTCTGGATGAGAGGGCTTCCCTGAGGGAGTATGGATGGAGGGAGAGCGTTAGGCAGTCTGGGCATCGGCGGAGCTTCTTAAATGCAGGCCAGCAGAAAGGCCAGTAGCAACAGCAGCACAGCTAGGCATGGGCCATCTGCCCTGCAGCGCTGGCTCTGATCAGTCAGGAATGGCTCTGGAGACTCGTAGCCCGAACCATCTGAAACACACAAACACAGAGAGACAGCACGCGGAGAAGAAGCGCTAGGAAATGCATACCTTTACTCAAAGCAGCAGGGGCCCACAACACTGACCTAATTAGAGTTTAATTACTGAGGCGGAGGATCTGGTTCACATTTCACACAGCGTTTTTATAGATTACACGGACCTGACGTATCTGTGCCAATGAATTTAAAATAAACACTGGATTTCTACTTGGAGGGTGAGCGATGTTGTTCTAGACAAAGTGACCAGGATACTATTCAAAAGCTTGGGGTTGTTCGTTTTTTCCATTTCTTTTGAAAGAAGTCTCTCATGCTTACCAAGGCGGCATTTGTTTGATCAAAAATATAGTAAAAACTGTAATATTGTGAAATATAATTACAATTTAAAATAGTGGTTTATTTTAGAATGTAATTTATTCCTGTGATGCAAAATTGAATTTTCAGCCATCACTCCAGTCTTCAGTGTCACATGATCCTTCAGAAATCATTCTAATAGGCTAATAGGTTCTTGCTGCTCATCAAACATTTAATATTATGATGATACCATTATTATTATCAGTGTTCAAAACAGTGTTCAAGTGTTTTTTAATGTTTACATTTTTGTAAGATTCTTTGACAAATAAAGTTCAAAAGAACATTTATTTGAAATTGATTTTTTAAAAATGTCTTTACTGTAATTTTTTGATCAATATAATGTGTCCTTGCCGAATAGAAGTATTAATTATTTTTATTTTAAAAACTTACTGACCCTAATCTTTTTAACAGTAGTATGATTTGTGAAGATTTGTGAATAAAGCAGCATTTTCATATCATATGTTCAAAAGAACAAAACTGCCATATATGGAGAAATTGGCACACAGTAAAAAACAAAACAAAAGCAAATATTTTTCATTTTCTTCTCTGAGTGAGTTATTCAGCCAATTATTCAGTCGTTTTCAATATAAGAATGTAAGTAAAATTGTTTCTATTGTAATTTATTCACTTGTTTTCTTACAAGATAAAACATTTATCCACAACACAACTGTATTGTATACTGTAGCTGAGTAGAAATCCCTATTAGCAACCAGCAATACAGCAACTGAGCACCAGAGATTACATCATTGGCATAATGAAAGTAAAAATGTTGTCTGAGCTGTTATTTTTAAAATGTGTAAAACAAGAAGGGTTGTAACTATGAATGTAACTTATGATGCCATTACCTGACACCCTTTTCAAATTTGACTTACATTCCCCAACAATTAAAGGGATAGTTCATGCTGTCATCATTTTTTCACTCTTATGTTGTTCCAACCCTGTATAACTTTGTGGAACACACACACACACACAACAAATATTTTGTCTGTTTTGGTGACCACTGACTTCCATTGTATGGACAAAAACCCCCAAAACACTGAGACATTTCTTAAAAGGGGTCCTATTATGCTTTTTCACTTTTTCAACTTTAGTTAGTCTGTAATGTTGCTGTTTGAGCATGAAAAAAGATCTGCAAAGTTACAAAGCTCAAAGTCCACTTCGAAAGGAGATATTTTATTTAACAGAAATCAGTAAAAGAGCATAATAGGACCCCTTTAGGATATCTTCTGTTACTGTATGTTCTACATAAGAAAGAAAGACATACAGGTTTTACTCACATGAGGGTGCGAATAAATGATGACAGAAATGTCTTTTTGGGTGAACTATCCCTTTAATATGAGGTTTCCATTGGTGAGTAATGAAGGTAAATTTAAATAATCCACAATAGTTCTAAAAGTTCCCCTTAGACCTCAGCTGCTGTTTTGATGGATGTAGACTGCATTTGAACACATTCCCGCAGCTTGAAAATAAATATGACATCTCATTAACAAAATGTTCCTGGAAAATGTGTCAAACACTGCTTATTTGCATTCCTGTTATGTCTAACAGAAGGTTGGCATGTAGACATGAGGGGATATTATTTTCTACACCGGCAGGGCAAAACAGTTAGAGCATGACTTACTTGTAGGCTTCACGTACACCTTCAACTTTAAACACGGCTTGCCAGCGTGGTTAGGATGAGGAGAGGCTGTTGAAAAGGAAGTTGAAGAGAAATAATGAGCTAAATGTGCTTGTGACAAACAGAATCATTCAACAAGCCAATGAATCAATCTGATTAAGATCCTCTTGGTGACACTTGTGAACTTCTCTCAAGCCTTGGAGTTAGTTTGACCCCTTGACAACCAAATCAGGAACAAAGTCTGAGATTTTCTTCATTCGGAGGAAATTGCTCTAACCTTCACCAGCTTGGTGTCGTCACATACAATGGTCTGCGACACAGTGTTCCCATGGCAAATTACCCCACATAGCACTCAGTGAACTGAGAGCAAAGAGTCACTATTGAGTCAGCCAACAGATTGGCTCCACCAGAACATCAGCAACACTGCTTGTGTCTCTGCTCCCCAGACACAAGCTTTCTGACAGATTACTTCAATCATCTGTGTTCTACAAACACAACAACTCTACTGCTTATTTCCTTATAAGGGTCTGGTGAGAAAGAAGGGGCGAGTGAAATCATTTATTTGAACTTGACTGCAGTCAAATGTCCACAAAGAAAACCCAGCACATGAAGAAAACAGCCTATTTCAATGTCCTTCTCAAGCTTTTTGAAGTGGGATTGGTCAAGAGCAGAGGGTTCCATTTTTTGATGGCAAAGACCCACAAATTATCTAATAAAACTTTTTCACTCCCATCCCCCTCTATCTCCCTTTCACTTCCTTCCCCATCTACATATTATCTTATCTGAATAAAGGCTTGAAAGTTCTATATATAAAACAATAATCACTTTAATCTAGCTTGCGCCAACAGTTGTACATGGAAGCAGCTCCGGGCGGATGACGTAAGATGTCAGTGTTGCGCATGTGCCGGTGAGTCTCGTGAAAACCAAGGTTTGTTTACAGGAGCAAAGGAAGATTACATTTTAAATATGGTTATTTTTCTTACAAAAACGCATCGATTCGCTACAGGAGGCCTTTGTTCACCCACCCGGAGCCGTGTGAGGTGCTATTTATTATGGATGGATGCACTTGATTTAACTTCTTTTGGACTGATGCATGCAACACCCGCTGAGTGCCATTAAACAGCTTGAAAGATCAAAGACAATTTTTAATATAACTCCGACTGGATTCAATTCATGAGCTAATTTTCATTTTTGGGTGAACTACCCCATTAATATATAAAGTATTAAAAATTTTTTTAGTATATTTTAATTACATTTTGGCTGTGATAAAACAAAAAATGTACTATATATAAAAGCCAGTAGTTTATTTTCTTTCTATCACACTTATTTTTTATTTTATCACACATATTTATTTAAAACAATATTGTAAAGATACAAACATAAAAGTTTGGGGTTAGTAAGGTATTTTTATGTTTTTAAAGGAAGTCTATCACCAAGGTTGCATTTATTTGAACAAAATACAGAAAGAAATGTAAATATTATTACAATT